TAATCAAAGCCCAAATTAAGGTCAGATCCAACTAAATCCTCCACATACACATTGTGCTACCCTAAATAAATTTACCTTTTGGTAAAATTTAAATATATTATTCAATTGAGGGCGTTGGAATGATAGTGGAGTATGTCAATTTTGTTTTTGTCCAGGAATGGAATGTTTCCTAACTCTATTTTAAGAATATGTGTTTGATATACATATACTACTAAAGTATATACATATTATTTTTGATATACACCCATCATTAAAGTACAGTTTCAAGATATTCACTTTCTGAACAAAATGAAAAAAATTACTCACCCTACTGAAATTTTTACTCCTTTAATTATCGCCAGTCCAACAACTTATTAAACATTTGAAAATTCTTGTGAAAAAAATCTTTTTCCAGAAATATGTTCAATACCTAGAGATTCAATTTCATTTAACCAAATATAGACAAGGTTAATATAAATATTTTCAACTTTTGCTATGAACTTCAGGTATCTCCGATGCGTTGTGGTTATTTGCGACCATGGAGAAGCATGGCTTTAGGTGATTCTGGAATTTCTACTATCTCATCCGATAAGTCAGAGTTCAAAATCAACTTGGATGTTCAGCAGTTCAAGCCAGATGAACTTAAAGTGAAAGTAGTTGATGACTATCTAGTAATTGAAGGAAAACATGAAGAGAGATCCGATGAACACGGTTTCATCACTCGTCAGTTTACCCGCCGTTACAAGATTCCTCAGGATGTAGATCAAAGTGCAATTGAATCCAACTTGTCAACTGATGGTGTGCTTACCCTCAAAGCCAAGAAGAAGGTAAATAGTATTATTTTAGTTTTGTATTAAATATTATTTAACCTTTTTATTTCAATTCATATATTTATGATAATTTCTAATTATATTTCTCTAATTATATATCTTTTTCCTTATAGCCAACACCAGAAATAGAAGGCAGAACTATCCCAATTGTTCAAACAAAGACGCCAGCGGTGACTAATGAAAAGGATAAGAAGTCTGAAAAAACAGAAGAAAAAATGGAACAATAAATGCAATATCACTTCTTCCTCAAACTGATCTTATATACTTATATTAAACTATATAATCAATATGTCTTTAAATTATTACATAATAATTAGGCTGAGGATACCGAAATGAATATATTTATGTAGTGTCAATTATATATAAAAACTTTGTTTATGTAGGTATTGATGTACTGATAATTTATTATGTAATAAAATAAAAATTTGTTACTGCATTTATTTTGCTACAGCCACTAAAAAGACACCATTTTTGCTATAAAAAAAAACATTTTAGAAATGGAAAGAAATTTTTAGGAACTTCTTTTGGGCCTTCCAGCTTTTACAAGATTAATTACTCTTAATGTTGTGGAGATTTAAAGATTGAAACATTATAAATATTACTGATAATGTGAGTAGTATTTGACTAGGCCCACAACTGTTTGAAATATTATTTAATAAGATTATTTTATTCATTACGTATTAAATATTATTGATTCAAAATCACAACTAATTTTTGCTGAAATCATATTGCCACACAGTTTATTTAACTTGTTTTGAGCCCATTTAAAAATTAAAAACATATTATTCGATACTAAAAATGTTATTTTGTATGATGGGAGGTAGCCAAACTGTATAATACTGATTTCTCACACTGAGGAGCAAACCTGGTTCTGTTAATGGTTTGGCACAAGAAGTTTCCTTTTCTCAAAGATGACAACCTTCCTCTGCAAGGACCTAGGATTTCCCATATTGCGGCATACCACTTTACTTCACTCTGCCCTGCCACTTTTACAGTAACTTCTAGTCACAGTGCAGTAAAGGAAATATTTTATTAATTTTTTTTCTTTAGTAAGTTTTGAGAATATAACTACATAATTAAAACGATTAATAACAATTACACTATAAAACGGTTGTTATGGGATAGTAATTTTGCTGCATACATCAGACATGCAGAGCTGTAAATACTCTTTCATCTTAGAAGAAGAATTTGATTATACTAAAAACTTTTTTATCATGTTGTTTTATCTTGAACAACATTTCAATCCAGTTGGTTTCTTTTCTTATTCATCTTTGGTTTTTTTCCTTATTCATCTTTGGTTTTTTTCCTTATTTATCTTTTCTTTTTTTCCCTTTATTTAAATTTCCAAACATCATGTTCTTATAATTTTTGCTTTTCAATATTAATATTAATTTTTTCATAAAAACATATAGATATTTGTTTTAAAATAAAATTTGGATTGATAATAAACTCTGACATTTTAATTTGAACATTACACCTTATTATATTCTCTATTGCTTAGGCTGGCAACAGGAATTCATTAAGGATAAGTAGTTTAAGTATAAGTATATTTAGTTTCATTAAGGATAAAAAAACATATCCTTTTTCATAAAAAAACATATCTCTTTTATAGTTGATTTGTTCAACTATTAGTCCATTCAATGAACGATTATAGAGGAAAATGGAAGTAATCCTATTTATGAGGTTCAAGACATTGTTGGGACAAATTTAGAGTCCCCACTCCTAGGTAGTGAGCCAAATGTGGGGGAGGGAGAGGGTAACCAAAATGTCACTTTTTTTTATTTGCTGGTTGTATCATGGAAACCATGCTCCTAGTGATAAAGACATTCTATAAAAAGTTAAACTGAAAATTTGCAACAATATTGACCAGTAGCGGAACCAGGATTTAATTTTTGGTGGGAGAGGCTTCAGCCCAAAACATATATTTTTAATTTATATAATGCTAATTACTTCGGAAAAAATAGAAAGAAACTAACAACCTATATGAAATGGTGTTTAAGTGATTCATGAAGTCCAATTAAATGTAATTACATGAATAATAACACTTTTAGACATAATTTTTTAATATTTTTTCCATAAGATATGGTAATGTTTTACAATTTGGGGGGAGGGGGGTGAGGGGGAGGGTGGAGGAGCTTCAGCCTGAAACCTCCCGTCCCCTCCCGTAGATCAGCCCCTGATATTGAAGATTTTCGTTTTTAGACTATCTTGCAGTCTCTGAGATCTCCGTGCTAAATTGCCAATTTAAAAAAATAACAAAACTCAGGCAAGGGGAGATGAGAAAGACTAGGTGGGACAGCTGTCCCCTTCTAAAAACATATAAAATATCAAAAATAAAATATCAACAGATATAAAAAATAATTTTTATGTTTGATATCGACTTTTATGTTTTTTAGTATTTCAACATCTTGAAAGAAACTAATTACGAAAAAAGGACAACCTCTACTTGAAAAAATTAACGAAAATGTTCCTCCCCATTCCAGGCAAAATCTTTTTAGTTCGTTAAGTGGTAGGACATGAAATCAAATTTGTTCCGCGATGTCTGTAGCGTTAAACGGAAGACAAATTTTTGTTCTGATTTTTTTTCTTTCTTTCACTCTTTTTTTTTTTTTTTAAATGCCTGCATGAACACTCAGCTGTATATTTGAAATCGTCCTGGCTTCGTTGGCAAACCTGACCATTAAAACAATATATAATAATCAAAATAAAAAATAATAAAATCCCCTTCTGATAACAAAACGTATATAATTGTTTTGCAATAAAGATACTTTAAAAATCTAAGTCGAGGGGCCTTTGAAGTAAGCCGACCCCGGGCCGTGCTCCCCTTCCACCAACCCCCAAGATACGCCACAGCCTGGAAAATAATTGTATATTTTTTTATATACATACATTTAATTTATACTTCATATAAATGAAACGATTACTTCAGTACTCAGATACTTGATTCGAAGTACTGTATAGCCACATTTTTGGATAGCCGATACATGCCATTAGTTACAGGATTGAAAAAAAATACAATATTTTAGGGTATCTTACATTTAAAAATAAACGAATAAATAATAACAAAAAAAGAAATAGAAAGTTATTATTTCTTATTTCGGCAGATTAGGTATTGCAACGATCGGGCAAGATCGGGGGCTCTCGGCTGTTTCCGATTTCCAAATTTGTACCTACCTAAACTAGACCTACTCTTATAACTTGGGCCCTTTCAGACTAGCTAGGACCTGGTTGAGGTAAGGATCGTTACTATTATTGTTATTATTTTTATTTTTAAAATTAATATGTAGGCATGTTAGATTTGAGCGAGTTGTCTAAATATATGTATTTTTTTTTCAATTAACGACTGTTTATTTTATTACAATAGCTGGTAAATGCGGAGACAATATTCACAACTCAGGACCACGTGTTCATTAAATTTAGGAGTCATGTTCAATTTTTGATGAATTATTTCAAATATTCGTACCACATCGCTAAATTCCTTTTGTGCATATATTCGACGATTTTTGAATGTGAAATATAGGCTATTAATTGAATTGAACACGTTTAGATTTCATAATTAGAGAATACACTGTCTTGAATAATCAATATAGATTATTCATTAAATCTATCTAAAATTATAATTGACATTAGAATAATTATATTGAATACAATTTTGTCCTGTAATATTATAATTAATTTCTCTTCCATTGTGGACATAACTTTTGTGTGGGTAAGCAAATCTTTCCACACGCCATTCGCAGCCATTGTGGTGAGATGACAAAAGCACAAATTTCTGGAACAGCGGCTTCATTCTGCGTGCAACGAACATTCCCTGTTTCATATTTTTTAAATTCTAAGATCTTGTTTAAATTCTCAGAAAAATATTGAGACAAAAATTATACTTAAATATTAAATACCTAGGCAAGAGTGTAACCACCTAAAAAATATTAAATAAAGTTATTGCAAATTATAAAAAAGTTTGACTGTATTTGTGTTGTGTTCGTGGTTTGTAAACAGTTATTATTTTTCAGAAATATGGCGGATGTAGCTCCAGCCGGTGGCCGAGGAGGCTTTAGAGGAGGTTTCGGAAGTCGTGGCAGTGGACGTGGTGGACCACGAGGAAGAGGACGTGGGCGTGGCAGAGGCAGAGGACGTGGTAAGGAAGGAGAGAAGGAATGGCAGCCAGTTACAAAGTTAGGTCGTCTGGTCAAGGATGGAAAAATAAGAACCCTGGAAGATATATATCTATTCTCTTTACCCATCAAGGTTAGAATCAATTCTTGCGGTGAATGCTAGGTAACTACAAATTTTGCAAAAGAGGAGAAATTGTAGAGAAAGGTTCGATTAAAAAAAGGGCAATAATCAAGTTACTATTGCTGGCGATTTATAGATACTACTTCAAATTTTCCAAAATAGGTGAATTGATCACCAGGACAAAATTCCATTTTAGAACTATAGAAACTTCTAATTATATAAAATTTAGAAATGATTGCAAAAATACAATGAAAACTCAAGTCTCACATTCTTCCAAAATCATGAAAAAACGTTAAATTGGGTTTTTATCGACAAAGCTGAATTGCAGTTACCTAGTTGTGATATCCACCCCCAAGAACTATCAATTTACTGGATAATTATCTATCTTATTATTTGTATTTTTCTAATGAATTAATTTAAGATAAATGTTTTAGGAATTTGAAATTATTGATTTTTTTATTGGCCCTGTATTGAAAGATGAAGTTCTGAAGATCATGCCAGTTCAAAAACAGACTAGAGCCGGGCAGAGAACAAGATTTAAGGCCTTTGTTGGTTAGTATTATTTTATTGTCATTTTAGGTTTTAGTTAATTCAATATTGTTTTTTGATTTTTGTTATTGTGACAGCTATTGGAGACCACAATGGACACATTGGTTTGGGCGTGAAATGTTCCAAAGAAGTGGCTACTGCTATCCGTGGTGCTATTATCCTTGCTAAGCTCTCTGTCGTTCCAGTCAGGCGTGGTTATTGGGGTAACAAGATCGGAAAGCCCCACACTGTACCTTGCAAGGTAAATTATTCAATTGGCTATTTAATCTGTATAAACCTTACAATTATATCAAAATGTAATTTGTATTTTGAAACTTAAATAAATTCAATCAGAAGTTCATTTACTGTTGCTTTACACTTAATCTCTGGATAAAATTATGTTTTTTGTTCCGATCATTCACTGAAGGAGATTTTAAATAATGTACTTATAAATTTTATATCATTATAGCATTAGATTTTTCAATTCTTTAGTGATGAAAAATCAATCCACTACCTAATTATTGTATGAAATATATAAAGAAAAGTGGTTAAAGTATATCTGGAAAGCCTTTATAAATCAAAAGAATCATATTTTGTATTAGTTAAACTTGAATTGTTTGCAACTTAAGTATTCTTTGTCCAGGTTACAGGAAAGTGTGGTAGTGTGCAAGTGCGTCTTATTCCAGCACCCAGAGGAACTGGCATTGTAGGTGCCCCTGTACCCAAGAAGCTTCTGCAGATGGCAGGTATTGAAGATTGTTATACATCTGCCACAGGATCAACTGGCACTCTTGGAAACTTTGGTAAGTACAGTTCACTGCTTGATTTTGATTTATTTTATATCCTTATTTTCGGTAGTATAAACTCCATGAAAAGTAAAGTGAAATTACTCGATTATAATCCTACGAAGTCTGAGATACTCAATGTCTGTGAACGGAAAATACTCTGCAGGATACATAGGCCAATCTGGAAATCAAGGAAGAATTGTGTTTCATGCAATGTATGGGAGACCAGCCCTGGTATCATTTGTGAAAAAACCCACCTCAAATATCTCAGATGTTAGAAACTAGGATATCAAAACGCCTGTTGTATGGAAAAACCGGAGGGAACAATATAGAAGAAGACCAAGAGTGAGATTATTGGATAGCGTCGAGGAAGACCTCAAGTTCCTTGGACTAAGGAGATGGAGGACATGAGCAAAATATAGGGATGACTGGCTAAGAGAAGGCCTTGTAAGACCGTAACACTCAACGATAAGTAATTAATCCTACAAAGTTAAGCTTATAACATTCATACGAGTGTCAAAGCTTGTATCTGTGGTATATTTTTAAATTCACCCTGATGATTGCCAGCAAAAAGGTTAAGAATGTTGTAAAACCTAATGGAACAACAGAAAAATGTTTCATCAAAATCAAATCTGCCATTTCGATCTAAAGAGCAACAACCATGGATTCATAATAGTAGAAGGATCACAACTTACATGCATTCTGTTATTTAAAATATTACATAAGTAAAATTATATATTATGAATAAATTTTCCTCATGGTCAAAAGAATAGAAATTACTTAAAGTAAAAAAAAAATTCTATAATCGTTAAACTGCAGATAAGCTTTTTATATTATATTCATTTTTCTTTTGTGTACAAATAGGTTTCAGATTTTTTGAACAGTAATGAGAGTTAAATTTTAACTTTTGTGGTTTCTACTATATGATTTTTTTTTCTCAGGATGGTTTAGAAGCATCTGAACTCAACCTTTTTCACAAATTATTATTGAATTATTTGTTAAAAGAGATCCTCAAGCATCTTTTATCTAAAGACTGTTTCTATCATTCAATTTAACTTTTATTTTTAAAATTCCCTTTTATGAGAAGTTGCATGATACTTTTTATATCAGTCCTGGACTTCTGGTAGCTGGTGAGAAGTTGACTTTTATTATATTGAGATTGTGAATTCTTTACTTTTTCAAATTATTTTAATCATCGTCTGAACTATGATGATAATTTTGTTCAAACTTTTGCGGTTTCCACAGAGGAGTTGATTTCCTAGGATGGTTAAAAGGGTCTGAGCTCAGTTGTCAGAAATTTATTGTAAAACTATTTTTCGGTAAAAGAATATGTAAGACTTCATTGTTATTTTTCTTTTATTCATTGTCTTCTTACTATGTAAAGAACATTATATATAACTTTATAAGTTTTAAAGAATTTGTTAATCATTGCATTGTTGATTTATGGGATAAATATTATAGAATATTAAAATTATTTGCAAATCAAGTTTGCACTGAAAATACAGGAAAAATCCAAAAGGATAGTATATTAATTTTTTTTTTTTGTTTCTAGCAAAAGCTACGTTTGAAGCCATAGCAAAAACATATGGTTATCTGACGCCAGATCTCTGGCGTGATGTGCCATTATCTAGGGCACCGTACGCAGAATTTTCAGATCATCTGCTGCGGAACCATCATGCCAAAGCTGTTCCTGTTGATGAATGATTATTAAGCTCTTCCTCTAATTAATGATAATATAATTTATCTGATACAAATAATAAATTAACTTTTATTAGAATATTAATTTATTTTTCCCAAATTAACTTATCTAACTTATGTTTATAATGGTTAGGGCTAACCTTGTAATTAAAGTATACTCGATTGTTCTTCAGGAGGCTAGAAATATAATTTCAGGTTACTTTAATGTTATTCTATTGTGGTAAATATTAAATTTTTTTCAAATCTATATATATAATGTAAGGGGAAGCAACTAATGCTGGATATGTATTTGGTAATGTAAGTTGAGATTTTCTTATGAACAAAGATGTTGCAAAACAACATGCATGAAACTGGAAAGCAGTTGACGAGAAATAAGAAAAGGTGGAGAAGGCTAGTCCAAGAACTATGAAGTATGTAATTCCTACAGGAAAAAAAAATCAAATAAAACTTACTGACCTAAAACTGGGTCCACAAAAAGCACATTGTTGGGCCATTGGGTACCCAAAAGTTACAACTTAAGTACTGTAAAGGGTAAAACAAAGTAGAAAATTTGTGAAATAGATTCAGCAGTGCCTAGTTTGTTTGGAATAAATTTTAAAAACTTATTTTGACAATGAGGCTTCATTGTGAATTTATCCCTTATGGTATTTCAGTGATCATAATAAATTACATTTTGCTATTTACATATTTAGGTGACGCTATGTTCTAAGCAAATAACTAAAATAGATTTATCATTTTTTTTTTTTTAAACAGTTTTATTATATAGACTTATATTTTATTATATATAGTCTTGGATATTGATGGACTAGCTCTGCTTAAATTATTAAGAAAGAAATGAAATTGAAAGAAAGAAACAGTTTCTTAAATTAGAATACCTTAACATTTACATCCATCTGAAACCAGAACCAAATATATTTAAAGGAGAAGACATGACTTTTTTAGCACTAAGTGGTGGTGAGTTACACAGGTTGATCTATGGGGTAAAGGGGAACTTTCTTGCTGAAGCTCCCCAAAATGGTAAAATATTACCATGTCTTATGAAAAATATATTAAAAAATTATCTCTACTAAATATTATCTATATTAAAAGTACTACTGTTCATGTAAGAACATTTAATAAGACTCCAAGAATCACTTAAACACCATTTTGTATAGGTAGTTGGTTTTTTCTTTTTTTCCAAAGTAATAATTATATTTAATAAAAAAAGAGGCTTTCTGGCTGAAGTCCCTCAAGATCAAATCCTAAATGAGTTATTGTTGCACAAATACTCTATGTTCTGATGTAAAGTATAAGGTTTTTCCCCCTATAATTTATAATAAAGGGAGTGACTTGCCCTTTTGGAACATCATTCACTTAGCACCGAGGAGAGGTGGGTTCTCAGTCCCAGGGGCTGGACTACAAGATTTGATGACAATCAGTGGATTGCCTGACAAGTTAATATAATTTAAAAACAAAACAAAATAGTTGTTATTAACATTGTTAGATACAAGGGGGACTCTTCTTAAATTATGACACAATTCAATTTTTTTTAAATTTTATTTGATCCTATTATCTTCCATTAGGTTGCTAGGCAACAGGGTGCAGTGCACATGCATTATCCTGCTAAGCCACCCTGCCACCTATAAACATTTTAGCCCTAAAAGCATTATTGTTTCTATAAACAATATTTTTTAAAAATTGTCCTCCCCATCAAAATTGAATTATAAATCCGCTACAGGCTATAAATAATCAAAGATCAATGAACCACAAGTGTTCCCCTGAAATATTATCAATAAAAATTCCCTCCCTATTTATTTATTGCTTATAAGTTTTAAAATATATTCCAAAATACCAGAATGCAGGTTTTCTTACAGTTCTTCAATAGATGTCATGTTATTAAAATAAACCTGCCATTTCTTTATGATTTCAACACATTAAAATTGTATGTTTATAATGTTTCTAAAATATTTCTATTATTGAATTCATAAAAAACAAAAATCTTCGTAACTATGTTATGAGGAATGTCGTTAACAATATGTGCACCTTGAGAAAAGGCATCTTTTCAAGAAATTAACTAATCAAAGACAGTGTATTGTAAGTCAGGAACTAATAATATAGTAATAATACCAAGTTTCATTTTGCCATACTAAATTCTTTATTTTGTTTGCTATTATTAGAATATTGGAATTTTATGGTCTTTTTGGAGTTTAGTTCAGGATCTTTAAAAGCATTATTTATAATATAACTTTTTGATACATTTATTACAACACAGATTGAAAAAGTTTTATGAAATACATTCTCATCAATGATATATTTTATATTCTATGGAAATTTGAAGCTGATAGAACAATGGGGTGGGCCAAGAAATAAAACATACCAGAACATATTGTTTGATTAATAAATAAAATGAAATCTTGTAGGTTAGAATTTCACTTTATTATTAATAATACAAAATGGCTTTCCCTTGAAAATGGCCTAAGGACTGATAAGTTCATGAGAAAAAAGAAATAAAGTAGGACTTTTGTGATCAGATTGGATGTTTTTATTATTAATATGGTTTAATATTTGATTATTGACTGTATTACTAACCAAAATCTTCTTGATTTTTTCAAAAACTCTACTATTTTGTAAATAACTGATAAAAGGGAAATAAAGATGAGAACCATTAAAGACTCTTAGTGGTTTAATATGTTAACGCAGAATCTTAAATTTGTATTAACATTATAAAAAATATCATTACATTCTATTATTATGTTATAAACATCATCATTCTATTATGATATTATAAAGTCAGAAACTATGATTTTAACTATAACAGGTCAACAGAAATTATGAAAATAGATGAATAAGATCTTATATTGAAACATTTTCCTTTGTCTGTAAAAAAAGGTTTCTTTGATCAGAAATGGCTGATGAGCTTTATGTATTATTTAATTATTCAAATATTAGGAATAATATGAGTAGGTGAAGGCAGAGCTGAAATGAAGTCATGAAGGATGCTCAGGTTATTTAGGTCTTTGAAATTGGAGAGCGGCTGCAGAAGAGCACATGGCGTAGGCTCAATGAGGAGGCCAATGTCCACATCTGTCTTTAGTGTCATTAAAAAAAAAGGATAAATTATTTAATTGGCCTATTGTGTTAGGATTTAAAAATAAACATTTATTAAACTTATTTTATTCTATATCAGCATACAATACAATGGGGCTGTTGTGCAATTAAATACCTTATAACCCAAGTAAATAGAGAAACTGAAACTAATATAGATGATTATGAATGATGGAAATTAGTAATAGTTTTTATGGAAAATAGATTTGATGACATCCTTATAATGCAAGTTGGTTAGACTCTTAAGACTCAAATTAATTCAGGAAATAATATATTTAATAAAATAACAGCTATAATTATGTAATATTTATTTCAACAAAACATATTAAAACAGTAATAATATCTATACATTTTAAAACATACTTACAGTCTTTTAAAAAAGGAGAAAAATGAATGGAACAATTCATCCTTTAATATTTCATAGTAAAATTAAACATTAATCTTATCATTATCAGATATTCAACATTTTCATTATAAAGGCATGCAGACTAGGAAGAAACAATTTCAATAAGTTTTTGATTTTTTATAGATTAAATATAAACCAATTTCATTATCAAGTCACATAATGCTAATATCAGTAAAAACATAATAACCTCGCATTCACAATAAAAATATACCATGTGATATGAGTATTATATCTAATTATTCAACAATATTTCTCTATAAGAAATCATTCAAGAAATTTAACATAACATCAAACTAGCTGATTTCATCTATTAGCCATAATAGTTTAAATTAATTAAACAATCTGTAAATGACAAATAGACTCTCTATGAGTGGATTAAATATTCTGAAGTTACGGTTTATCATAATAATCATATGATAAATAATAATAAATAATTATTATAATACATGCAGGAGACAAAAACATGGAGGTAGGTAGCTAGGAAAGAGCCAAATAGAGCAGCTATCTCCGTTACGACGTAGAAACAATTAAAAATAAAATACCAGAAATTATAAGAAACAAAATTATGAAAAAAGTAATTGTAGAAAAAGGAGAGATCCTCTACTTGAAAAAAATTATTTTTTTAAAATTTCTCAATCTTTTGGGGCAAATTATTTGCGCAGAGTATACCCAAATCACCTCAAGAAAAGAATATAGACAGGATGAGCTTAATTTTTCTGCCCCTCTTTTTAAATACCTCTCCATTATAATCAATAGTTTTAGGTAATATATTTTGAGATAAGTATCATCATATCATGACATTAACTCACTGTAATGGTCAAATAAAGACCTAAACGTAAAAAGTCACTTTACATTGAGTGCCTTCTAAATTCTACCCTTGGCAAATGACTCCTTAGCACCTCCCTTTAAACTTTTGTGATGAGACTAAATAGTATTAGCCTGCAATTGTTTTAGCGAGAGGAATGTTTCAGGAATATCAACAATTCGTCTTATCAAAATTGTATAAATTGAATTAAGATTAGAAAGAAGGGAGCATAGAAAGTTTTTTCAAGGTAACAAATATCTGAGTTTTTTAACACATAAAAACATCTGACCCATCATTACTCATCCCAATTTTATATTCTCTTACTTTGAAACATTTAACAGGCTATATTAATGATAAACTCATTTGAATGTATGATGAAACAGAAGTTAAAATGGTATCACATCCAAATAATATTAACAAACCAAAGGTCCAAACAATGGTATTAATGGTGAATGGTCACATTCTGACAAGACTGAGACTCATTATTCAAAGTGACATCTGACATAAAATAAGTGAGTTAAAGCTTCAGACTTATGATTTCAATTTTAAGTTAATTAGAGGTCCAAAATTAAATTGAATATGGACTAGAAACTGGAAAGAGCAGGAAGATATCTGAGGCCATAATGTATGCCCCCTAATTCCGCTAAAGTGTCACAAAATACAAGGTTAAAGGTAGCTCTTCGAATTGAGAACATGGTTGACTAAACTAAT